AAGGTTTCATGAACAGTTCTTGAGAACCCATATACTGGCACAGCCTCTTGGAAAGCAAGTTGGAAATATCTGTCCCAGATTTAAATACACATCAGTTGACCAGCACAGCCTTCCAGAAAAGTATTCTCCTCACATAGGTGCACAAATATGTATGTACAGACATGTTTATTATAACAATAGCAATTCACTGGAAACAACCCAAATGCCCATCAATAAGGGACTTGTTTATTCTATGGTACATATTTATAATGGAATACCATGCAGCTTTTAAAAAGACTGAGGCTTACTCTTAGACACACATCACAGAGTGATAAAAATACAGGCCCACAAAGAGACTTGTACATTATTCATAAAAGCCCCAACCAGAACAGCCCAAATGTCCACCAACAGGAGAATAGACAAATTGTGGTATATTCATACAATGGAACATGACTTAGCAACAAGAAAAGGAATAAACAGACACAACAACAGGAATGAATTTCAAAAGTATCTTGTTAAGCAAAACAAAGCAGACACAAAAGAGTACATACTCTATGGTTCCATTTATACGCAGTTCAACAGACAAAACCAATTTATGGTGACAGAAATTAGAATGTGCTTGCCTATAGGAAGTGCAGATTACTGAAAGGGGAAAACTTTTTTGGGGGGGATGATGGAATTGGGTGTTGCATTTGTCAAAATCATTGGATTGTACACTTAAGATCTGTACAATTCACTGAATTTAATCTATCTCAATTTAAAAATAAAATTATTGAATGAAAAAGACTAGCCAAACTTTATATGTTCTGAAACAGAATGATCTCCAAATAAATTAAGTGGAAGGTCGTGGGGGGAGGGGGTAGAAACAAGGACAAAAAAATGTGTATAGTATACTCCCATATGTAATAAAATATATGTTACCTAATCTTCTGTATATGTAATATTTCTACAAGGATATTTTCTGGAGGGCGTTGGGTTCTGAAGTAAAAGGGACATGTCTCAGTACTTTTTTGTAGTGCTGGAATTTCTCTTATTGTGTTCATATTAATTTTTTACTATAAAAACTAGTTAAAATTTCCTGATTGGATAACAGAGTATTCTGAGGTTGAATTATAATATTTCTCTACCCTTGGAAGTAGGGACATATAACTGCCAGCAGTAGACGGCCTGTGGCTCTGCAGGTAGAAGTGGGCGTTTGGACAAGCAGATCAGGGAAGCACCTGCAAGATGTCCCTGGGGCAGGGGACTAAGTATTCCTGAGTCCTGGCTTAGGACACCAAGTGAAATAAACTGAATATCTGATTGCAAAGATTTCAGCCTGAAATGACAAGCTTTGGGTTGAATAATGTAAAAGCCCCTCCCACGGTGTAGAAGATTTATCTGGATGAAACATTTTCTTTTCTTTTTTAATGTGAAGAAATTAAAAGCTTTCCTGGTAGGGTAGGACACAAGGCTTTTAAAAGGCTGTGGGATGAAGGGGAGAGAGTACCTGGAAGAAGATATCCTGAGCTAAGAATAGGATGGCCAGGTATAATTTTTAACCAGACAATTCTGCATTTGGTCTCTATTTCCACAAACAAGAACATGCCATCAAGGATCTTACCCAAGAACATCCTTATTCATTTCAAGAAATAGACTCTGTGCTAATGAGCTGATACCTTGCTTGGAGTCCAAAGCACAAGATTCACTCTCCATTAATTTTGTAGTGTGCAAGAGCTTGTGGGGAAGAGGGAAGCCTTCACTTAACCCAGGTAGATGACCCCCTCCCTGGCCCTGTCAGAGAAGGTGTCCCAGGGCCTTCCCCAAGGGAGCTCTCAGCTCAGGAATAACAGGGAAGGAGTCCTGTTGCCTGCCCTTGGGAGCTCCTAATTCATGGATCAAAGGATAAGGAGCCCAGGAGCTTGACCTTTGGAATGCATAGAATCCTCGTGGAGTCATAAGTCCCTGGCAAAAAAGTTAAGAGAACAATCCTGGTCAGAATTTGGGTCAGAAGCTAACTTCGGGCCCAAATGTCTGATCCAGACACTAAGAAGAGAGAACTCAAGGATCCAGGGTTGAATCTCTTTACAAAATGTAAAAGGCAAAATATGGGTGGGGAAAAGCCCTCAGATGGCCTTAAGCAAGTGGCTAAGCCCCAGATGGGAGCAGGAAGTGGGCCTGTGGAACTGGCTCCAAGCTGAGACAGTAGAGGGCTGAGGGCAAGGAGCTGCATCTGGCCCAGGCACAGGGACGGCCAACTGGGGTAAAGGGATCCATGACTCTGGGGAAAGGCTCATCAAGACCTTCTAGTCCAGTCCCTTCATGATGGAAACAAGCCCAGAGAGTAGAGTAACTTGTTCAGTGTCCAATGTCAGGACTGAGCTTGGTCCATGGCTTAGACTCTAGCCTCTAGCCTCCCAGTGGGCCCCATGGAGGAGTCCTGGCCTTTGGGAAGTGGAGGCATTGCTGAAGCTCTTGACCAAGCAACCATGTTCTTTCTTCCTACCTGGCAACATGTTTCTGTGGAATACCATGGAAAGGGAAACACTCTAGTTGCCTGCAGTGATAATACCAGACACTGCTCATAACCTACCCAACAGCTCCCATGTCTTTTTTCTTGCCAGAGCCCAGATTTTGTAGTGGGTGGAAATCTCTTGATTTCAGGAAACACAGGCCAATTCCCCAACCCCAAGAGATGAGTCTTAATTGATCTCATGATATTCCAGTGATATTCTAATTCCCCTTTGGCAATGATTGGTCTAAGGGTGCGCATTGTGACCCTGTTCTGGCTGGTAAGACATAAAGGGAAGTCTATATGGGGCTTCTGAAGAAGCTTTTATTTTCCTAATTAAGAGTAAAGATGTAGTTTGGCACCGTCATGTCCCCAACCTGTACGTCTTTCTTCCTGCCTTGAAGGGATGCAGATGTATATATGACCGGAGAACTGAGCAGGAGAGTAAAAGTGTGATATCCTCGGTATGACATAGTGCACTGTAGATCCCAAGTACTTGGTGGCCTGAGTGAGCCGCTGGACCAGTGCCAGCAGCCACCTACCTCCAGACTTCCTGTTAAATAAATGTTAAATGGCCTTATGGTTTAAGCCACTGTCTGCTGGGCTTTCTCTTATTTGCAGTTAAAAGCATTCCTAAATGGCACAGGGCATAAATGTTAGTGCAACCCCGGCCAAGTTCAAGAGAAGTTGTTTAGAAACAGCCTTTGGTCAGCCTCGTCAGCTGTGAGTTCTGCTCTCCTGAAACCCTCTACCCACCCTCCTTGTCAGCCCTCAACCAGATAGTGTCTGGTAGAGTCCTCCACCCACCTCACCAATCCTCCCCCATCACACCTTCAATGCTCACTTTGAATGACCTTTACTGACCTCGCTAACTACCACCAAGCATGCACCTAATTGACCACGCCAGTGGATCAATCATTTATTTATCAATCACACTCACTGTGGCCTGCTCTGGGCCAGCCATAGTGCCGGCACTAGACCCAGCAGGCAGTCAGAGCCCTCCCTCTGGTGTGCAGACAGGCAACAGCAGCTGTGTGGGGAACAGTGCTGGAGGGTGGGTGAGAAGAAAACCATCAGTTCTATCTTGAGGGGAAGGAGGTAGCCTTTTCCATACTGCTGTCCCCAAACAAGTGCTTTGATTTTTAGGGCAAGGGCCAACCCTGTCTGATTCAACACCGTCCTGAGCCCACCTCTGAGGAGGCATCAGAGAGGGACTCATTCGGTGATGTTCCCTGAGCAGGCAGGGCCTTGGGGTGGACTTGCTCCTTGCCACGCACCTTTCCTTATACTCCCTATAAGTTCAAGGCTTTTAATGACTAGAGGAAGGAGCAGTGGGCGTGGAGTTGGAAGAGCTGGCTTGGAACCGTAACACCCACTAACCTGATGTGTAACTCAAGACACATAAATTGGCCTCTCCGAGCCTAAGTGTTCTTGCATGACGAACAAGGATAAAACACCTGCCTGTGTCACAGGGTTGCTGCAAAGATGGAATGAGATAACTAGTGGATTCACCAGGTCCAGGAAGGCCTGGCAACCAGGAGGTGGACGGTGCATAATTGTTCATTTATCCACCTCCTCCCACCCCTCAGACACAGCAGAAAACCAGAGATGAGCCAGCAGAGTGGAATTTTCCATGGGAGATGGAGCATTTAAGGAGACCAAGACCTCAACAGTGTGGTCAGGAATTGTCCCACCAAAGGAGCCAGATACACACTTGGTCCTTGATGGGTCTTCCTTAAGTTTCTATACTTTCTCCTTCTCTGAAACACCATCTCATCTACCTGCCACTGCTTCCCTTCCAGAGCAGTACAAGGAGAGAAAATGGGGCTGGAGGGCAAGAGGGTGGTTGTCTCTCCTGTCTCTCTCTCTCTCATGCAGTGTGCTGAGGGTTCCCATGGCTGCTCTGGGGTCTTTGCCTCAGTAACTTCAAGTAGAGTCACTCACGGGCAGGGCCTGTCTGCTCAGGGACCAGCCCTGCTGGACCAAGCACTGCTCCTTCTTGGTGATGCTCCATTGCCACCAGGCATGGCATGACAGCCAGTCAATAAAGGGAAGGCTTTCCCCAGAGCAGCTCAAACTATTGCATGACAGACAGACTCTGAAGTGACCCAGATTTGGGGAAGCAAGAGCTGTGTCCACTCTGGGCCTGCAGGTGAGAGACAACCTAGATATGCCGCTGTGTCCACCAAAGAGCCACCACTGCCCACACTTGGAGTGTGATCCCCACTATGTGGCAGGAAAAGCATCTCCCAGAAGAGCAAGACTGACCTGCCTGGGAGAAAAGCAGATGCCAGAGGGCCCGGGCCAGGGCATGTCAGCCAATGTTGACCCAGACAACAAAGAGACCTAGGAATAGAGGAGGCTCACTGGAGAGCTGGAAAAGGGGTCCAATTGTCAATTAAAATGGAACGAGGTAAGGAAGGGAGCAGGTTGGCCAATGGTGTGTTGCGGGAGGAAAGGCAGGTGTCATCCTGAAGTCAGCCACTCAGATTCTTTGTCCTTTCATGCTGGCCATGTGAGGAGTTCCAGGAGTCTCCAAGAGGCTCTGATAGCCATACTCATTCCACAGTGGGAGGCTGCCCAAGACCAGACGTTTTGTTCTCTGGATTGTCCCCTTCAGAGGGATAGAGATGATCTTGGCAGCCCAAGGTGAGCTGGAAGAGGCACAGGCACTGGTCGGTTGTTTTCCCAGCTCCCAGCCTGGGGATCTGATTCCCATTTAGACTACCTGGGACTAAGCAAATGAAAACCAGAGCCCAGTGTGGGGCCAGTGTGAGGCCTGGAAAGATGGGTCCCTGCAGCCTCCTGAGGGGCTTCCTTTACTTCCGAGCCTGCCCACCAGACACCCATCCCCATCCCTGAATCCAGTCCTGGAGGAAGAGAGGACCTGTTGGCTGGGTCTTGGTGGGGTGTGGTCATGACTGGGTCACTTTGGGGTGCGGACCCCAAAACTCTGTGCAAGGTGTGTGGAAATTTCAGTAGTCCTCAGGAGGGCGGGGCTGTGCGCATGGTCCTGTGGTTCTTCCTAAGTCTCAATATGTGTCACATTGGCCCAGGCAGGGAAACGATCCAAGTCAAATATGACCCGTCCCCAGGTGTTGACCGCCAAAAACACACAGAAGACTCCAGTTATGTTCATCATTATTCCTGTTTTTATCTGGGAAAAAAAAAACAGGGTCAGAGTCAGCACCCTCAGGTCTGCAGAGCTGTCAGAACAAGCACAAATGGGACACCGGGAACTAGTCTTCTTGGAGAGGAGGACAATGGACCAGTTTGCTGGGCCTCAATGTCCCTGTGCCATGCTCTGGGCTCCCCCCACCCCCAGACAGAGCAATTTCATGTCCCCTAAGTATCATCAGGGCTCAAATCACCCCTGGGGAGTCAGCAGGACGGATGCAATCTCTATGCCCATTCTCACATTTAGAAAATGACCTCAGGGAGGTGACTGAGGCAACAGCTGAGGCCACTCAAGGAAACAGTGGTGGAGCCCGGGGTGTGACTCTAGATCCAGTGCTCACCCCAGTGCCTGAAGCATCCCACAAGGATGGGCCAGCCTCCTTTTGAACCCCCCTGGCTCTCTCTGATGCCTAATGCTCTCACCATGACTTTGATGGCCTGTTGTAGATTGTTTACTGGGGATTAGAATCGGGTTTGCAGTCCATGGTGTCTGGGACCCACCCATTTGTGAAAATGCTCCATGGCATCCCAAGGACACCCATTGGAGACTCTGAGATAACGAACACCTGATGGGTCCAAGATGGGGACCTTCATTTCTGGCTTCCTGGGCTCACATACTTGCCTCTTCCTGGTCCCAGAGCTGCCCTTCTTCTCCCATCAGAGGTGACAAATCAAAACCAGGCCTGAAGAGTTCTTTTTGTGGCTACATTTGTTTTCAAGGCATCATCTGCTCCCAGGCACTGGTCTCTCCCCCCTCGTTGCTCCTACCTCTTCAGACACCTCTATAAACCTCCTTCACTGTCATTAGCATCCCCCCCATCTAAGCCCTGCCCCTCCTGACTGTCCTCATGGGTTCTTGCTAGGTTATGGAGTCCATCCCTGGCCACGTGTGCTCCAGACCCCCACCCCTTCCAAGTGCACAGTGAGGGCTCCCAGTGCCTGCATGGGCTTCACCAGGTGGGAGAGATTCTACAACCCATCTCAGAGACAGAACCGTCTATAAAGTATGAGAGCATCTCAAAGCAATAGAAAAGCTACATTATAAATGCAAATAATGAGTATAGGTTTGGACATTCGGTGGTATTCCCAAATCATGTGATGTCATTTTGAAACTCACACATCATTCATAAACGGGGGCCCCCCTAGGACAGCAGCATCATAGTCTGATAGAAGGAAATAAAAGCGGCTGTGTTACCATGTCAGAAACCTTGAGGTGGCCGTAGGCGAACACAATGGCGTTAGGTGGGGTGGCCACAGGCAACATGAAGGCAAAGGACGCACTCAGGGTACAGGGGAGCATGACGTACAGTGGATTGAGGCCGATGGAGCGAGACTGGGGAGAAACACAGCACTGCAATGTCACAGCACAGAAAACAGAAGCTCCCAGTGCCATACTTCTGAAAAGCATTTCCTGAATGCACCAGCATAAGCTCCACCCTCTGTGCTTTTGTCTTGCTGGTTCCTCTACCTTCTGCCATGTCTCTGCTGACACCACTACTGAACCCTGAAGGCTGAGCTCAGAGCCCACCTTCCCTGGGAGGCCTTTCTGAGCCCCTTCAATTCATTCAACATATATTTATTGGGTGCCTACTATGTGGCAGAGACGATGCTGGACGCTTAGACTGCACTGAATCTCTCAGTGCCATGTACACGTATCTGTCTGTCCTGTCATAGACTGAAAGAGCCTAGAGGGCAGGGACTACGTCTCCTCACCTATGTAGGCGTCTGTGGAGGTATGTGTTTTTGCATATGGAATTTGGCATCCACCTTTTTTATTCTACATTTTAAAGTTCAGCCACATCTAACAGCACCTAGCACGGAGTAGGCACTGGTTAAATATTTGTCGAGTGAATGAAGGAATGATATAATTTAATCCATAATATCTATTAAAATTAGTCATTTATCATACAGATTTACATGCACATGAGGGCAGACACATATGCAAAGATGTTCACTGCAACAACGTAACCGCAAAACGCAGGAAACAGACTCAATGGCCATCAATAGCAGGATGGTTAAATAAAATATGATATATACAAACAATGCAATAGTATGCAGCTGTAAAGAATTGGGTACATTTTATAAGTACTCCCAAAAGTTCGTGGAAAAATAGGATTGAATGATAATACAAATCTTTCCATGAACTTTTTGAAGTACCCTCATATGTGCTAATATGGAAAGATTTCAAAACCTATGGTTAGATAAAAAGAAAAAATTAATGTTCATAGCAGGACCATAGAATGATCACATTTGTTTAAAAAAGAATGTGTGTGTGTGTGTGTGTGTGTGTGTGTGTGTGTGTGTGTGTGTGTGTGTGAGATGTATACAGAAGATACCTAAAAAATTAACAACAGATGTCTCTAAGGAAGAAACCAGAAGATTAGGGTCTGTATAATTCTCTGTATTATTAGGCATTTTTTAGCTATATATGTGTATTACATTTTCAATTTAGAAAATTATACCATCAGCATGTTCATATTTTATTAAATACTCTTCAAAACTGTGACTTTTAATGGCCTGATAGTAATACATTGTTTGAATAAATGATAACTTATTTCACCATCTCCCTGTTATTATGGATATATTTTTATACTAAGTAATTTTGTGCATTCACCATTATAAATATGCTTGTAGGCATCTCTGCTTATTTTCCTAAGATATTCCCAGACATGAAATTGCTGAGTCAAAGAGTATGTGCAGGTTGAAGGTTATGGTCCCGCCTCTTGATAAACAGCCCTCTGAAAAGGCCGTACCAAGGTACACTCTCTGTGGGAGTAACTGGGTTGTCCCGGGCAGGGCCCAGCTGTTCCCTAGTCTGCCCTCTTCCACTCACCCTCATTTCCCTGGCTTTGGGTACCCCATGATGTATGCACCGCATGTTGCTCTGTGACTCAGCTGGATGGCCACTATCCTTCCCTTCCCACAGGTGGGTGCTGTGGCAGGAGTATGAGGGGCCTTGGACGTAGCTGGGGGAATCTTACTTGGGGCTTCTGGTTCTAGAAAAGCTTGCTTTTAAGGGACCCTGCTACCCCTCCGGTTAAGTCCTGCATTTGTCTGGTTGGGGCCCTCCATGGCTCATGGCTAAGACTGGAGAAAACAAAGCCAGTGCCTTTGCTAGGGGAACAGAGGCATTACCACCGCATGCCCAGCGTCAAAAGCTGCTCCCCGCCTAGGGCAGCAGGAGACAGCCACCTTGCTATTTGTAACACTTTCATCTCCTTGATATTTTTAACTTTCATCTTCACTTGGAATGGAAGGAAAAAGCCACTTAGGTTTGCTTTTTATACATGTGGACACCCAGGCAACTGAATGGAAATTTACCAACTTCAATCCCATGTTTGGGCCCTTTGTAAGTCTGTCTTCCAAATCCAGAATAACAACGGCCTGTCCTATCCTCATTTTGCAGTCTACAGCGGCTTTTCATAGCCCTCATCTTACTTGATCCTCAGCACACCTCTAGGAGGAAAGAGCTTAAGTGACATGTTAGGGGAACTCAGGTCTTCTGACTCCAAGTCCAGGGCTCTTGCCAGGACACCCTGCAGTCGGCACTGCTTCACAATGAATGACGGAAGGAAATGCAAGAAAAGATCATGACAAGTGCAAGTAAACAGAAAAGCTCTGCTTTCTCCTCAATCCCAACTCAGAAACACGCTTGCCCCCAGAACAGAATGTGTTAGCCTGGCACTCAGGAGCCCCTCCTTCTCCCCCAACTACCCCTCTGGCCTCAGCCCCCATGGATGCCTCATCCCTGGGCTTGCCAGCAAAGGCTTCCAGGAGTCCTCAGTCATGTGCTCCATTCCCTTTACCTGGACTGCTCCATCATCCCACAACACCCCCTTCCCTCCGATTCCCAAACCCACCTCCCCCAGGGTCTGCCATCCTCCTGCAGACCTCCCACACTCCTGTGCCACTTGCTTAGAGACCACGGCACTGCCCACTCTTCCTCAGCACAAGTCCTGTCTCCCCAGCTTGAAAAATAAGGCAGTTAGATGTATAAAATAAATTGTGAGCACCTGTTCCATGATTGGTGCTTTGGTAAGCACGAGGGATACAAAGAGCAACTGGCAAAGCAGTGAAGGCAGGGCTGGGACTGCCAAGGACACACAAGTCATGTTGAAGCCAGAGCCAGACGCAGGTGTCCAAAGCCTCTCTAGGAACCCAGGACATGATCACAGGTTGTGGCTTCCTATGAAATGATGCTTAAGACCCCCCTACCCCCTGCAGGGTTACTTACCATGGAGGCAAAGATGGGCAGGAACAGGGTGGTGGTGGCCACGTTGCTTGTGCACTCAGTGAACACGGCAACAAGCAAGGATAAGATCAAGGTGATGGCTGCGGGGGACACCGCATGCAGGGGCTCCATCTGCTTCCCCATCCACTCGGACAGCCCCGAGGCCTGGGAAGCAGTGGGAGATGGTCACCTCAGGGGTTCTGGCTTACAGTTCCCACAGGGCCAGGGGAGTTCAGCCCACCCTCTCCTCCTGACTCTTTCCCTGCACACATTCCATAGGTGATCTCAGCCATCCCTGCAATGTTAATTTCCATCCTCATTCTGAAGTCTCCAAATCTGTATTTCCAGCCCAGCTGGTCTACTATCTGGGTTTAAACATCCATATGCCTTCTAGAAATTTCCACCCAGATGTCCCGTGAGCACATCAGACTCAACACGTCCCAACCTGAATTCATCCTCTTTAGTCCATAATCTGCTTCTTCCTCTGAGATCTGTGGTTTGGCAAAAAGACTAACCATCCTCCTGCTGTCTAGCCCAGAAGCCTGGGAGTCATCCTGGGAGTTTCTTTCCCTCCCCGTTCTTGATACCCCATCAGTCACCAAGTCACCCAAAGCATCTCATGTCCATCTTCTCCTCTCAGTCCCCCACAGTTCTTGAAGTTTAGGGGAGTGATTTGGGCCAGAAATTAGGGATTTAGATTTGGGGCTTTGGGCTGAGAAGAGATTGTCCAGGAAGAGAATGAAGAGTAAACAGAAAAGAAGCCAAGGACAGAGCCTTGAAGAACAGAGGAAAAGGCACAAAGGAGGCTGAGCAGGAGCAATGTTAGAAGGAAAGCAGAAGAAAGTGGGGTTTGGGGGCTAAAGGATATTCCAATAAGGAGAGAATGGTCTGGGGAGTCCAGAGCTCCGAGATTGAGTCAGAAGAAGACACAGAGAGACAGCTAGTGCTGCTCCAGCCCCCACCATCCCGGCCTCCACTGCAGACAGCAGAACAACCTTTCTAAAGCGTGGCTCTGACCACGTCTGACCAGTGGCTCTACGGCCTTCAGAGCCAAGTCCACACCCCCTGTCTGCATTCAAGGCCCTCAGGGAAGTGGCTTCTGCCAGCCTCACCAGCCTCATCTTCTACTGCTCCTCACGCTTTTCCCCTTGCTCATGTGTCACTACTTTCTGAGATGCCTGTCCAGATATGTCCCCTTCCCTAGGCTGTGAAGTCCTCAAGAGCAAGGACCATATCTCAATCTCCTCTATAATCTCTGTGCCTGGCCTAACACTAGGGACTTAATAGGAGTGTTTCATAAATGAATAAATTTCAGGTGGAGAGATGAATAGATAGATGAACTTGTTCTTCAAAAAAAAACATTTATGCACCCGGCTCTCTCCTAGATGTTCAGGAAACAGCACAAGTCTATGTATTACATTCGATTCCTGGATGTGTAGAAAAACGGATGGATGGATGGATGGGTGGGTGGGTGGGTGGGTGGATGGATGGATGGATGG